AATAAACTTTAAAAAAAAAAAAAAACAGTGTTAGTATTCAGTGGGAGAGGAGTGGACCATGGCAAAAACGAGGCCATTCCTGGAACCCTACTACATTCTCTTTCAGGATTGTCTCCCCGCCCTGACATGACTCCCCTTCCCTCCCTGCAGTCTCCTACCCCCTTCCCAATTTCCACAGAAACCCCACTTCTCAGCAAACTGCCTGACTGCTCAGGGGTCCAGAAATTAATCCTGCCAAGGGTTTCTGTCTCAGGAGAGATAGAAAGGAGGCCATGTCAGGAGGAAGGTCCTGCAAGGTTTGGGCCAGTTTTGGGGAACAGCGGGCACTTTGTTGAATAGAGGATGTGGGGAAAGTGGGAGCCATGGAGGGTATGCCAGGGATGGAAGCAGTGCACAAGTCTTTTCTTTGCTCCCAGCCTCTGCTCGGCACCATCACATTTTTCTTCCCGCAGGAGAAGGTCATCCCTTCAGTCGTCATAGAGCCCGCCTCCAACAATGAAGGGGAAGAACACGAAGCAGCTGAGGTGGCAGAGACCAAGGAGACCCCCATGGCCGCGGCTTCTGCCAGCGAGCCGCCAGAGCTGGCCGTAGAGCCCAGGGCGGGTGAGGACTCCCAGCCCGTGCCTTCCGCTCCAGCCGCAAGCCAGTTGTCTCAGGAAGTGCCTCCCGGCTTCCTCTACAAGGTCTGGTGGCCAGTTGTCCTTCCTCTGCTTTGAGACCCTTTTGCTGGAAACTTTGATTTTTGGCTGTTTACTTTTGCCTTTTGCAATATGTATTCTTTTTCTGCACTGGAGGGAAGAAAGGTTCAAATCAATGGGATGAAGGTTATGTTCGGAGACACCATCAAATAGCTACTTAGAGGGGCACCTGGGTGGCTCAGTAGTTTGTGGGTTTTAGCTCCTCATGTTGGGCTCTGTGCTGACAGCCCAGAGCCTGAACTTGTCTCTGTGTTCTCTCTCTGCCCCTTTCCCCGCTCACTTGTCTCTCAAAAAAAAAAAAAAAAAAAAAAAAAAGGCTACTTAGAGATTTCATAAAGGGAAGGGGCCTTACCCAAAACCTGTTTTCGGTAAATACCTGAAAACACTGGCTTAAGCTAAGTGTCAAAGGCAGTTAATCCTCCTTAATAGAATATAGGTGGGAATTTTCAGTTCCATAATATGAATTTACGTTTCAAAACTCAGCTCTTTTTCTTTCACAAATGTTAAATTTAAGTGTGTTTGTGAGGGCGGGAGTGGAGAGGAATAGTCATCTTTTTTCTTTTTTTAAATGTTTATTCTTGAGAGAGTGTGTGCATGCAAGCAGGGGAGGGGCAGAGAGAGAGGGAGACAGAGGATCCAAAGTGGGTTCTGTCCTAACAGCACAGATGCGGGGCTCGAACCCATGAGCCGTGAGATCATGACCTGAGCCAAAGTTGACACTTAACCAACTGAGCCACCCAGGTGCCCCTAGTCATCTTTTTTTTTCTCTCTCTGCTCATTAGAGACCTGTCCCCTTGCTACCTCAGATGGTGGCGGGGCGGGTGGAGTTGATTTATGAATGAATCACGCAGAGGAACAATTAAACGTGTGGTTAGTGAGGGCGGGTGTCCGCTGTGTGGTAAGCAGAGCACAGGAAGTCAAGGAGGGGGATTCCCTGCAAAGCCAGCCTCCCTGGGGCCACCCCCACTCCCCTCACTAACTGCAGCGGCCCGAGGAACATCACTCCTCTCTCTGCACTTCTCTTTCTCAGCAGCAAAGTGACTTTGAGAATAAGATCCTCATTTCCAGCTCTGACATTTTATCATTCTGTATGCAGAGTACAGCCAATCCCTTAACCTCAGGGGGGTAGGGCTAAGGGGAGGGACATGGGAGAAATACACCTGTCCATGACTGAATAGTTGTTCAAGCTGGTGAGGAGTATGTGGGTCGTTATACTCTTCTTTCTACTTCGGTTTTTAAAAAAAATTTTATAATCAAATTTTGAATAAATCTTTCCAAAAAAGGGGAAAGAGAGGGGGTAGGGAGAGAGGACAGGTGTTGTTTAAGGGTATAAACTTCCAATGAGTAGAAGCTAAGCCCTAGAGATCTAATGCACAACATGGTGAATACAGACAACAATATTGTATTATAATCATCAAACTTGCTCAGAGACTAGATCTTAATTATTCCAACCAGTAGAAAGAAATGGTAATTACACAACATGATAGAGGTGCTATAGTGGCATCATATTAGGGTATATAAATGTGTCAAATTAGCATGTTGTACACCTTGAATTTGCATAATATTACTTGTCAAATATATTTCAACATTTATTTATTTATTTATGATTATATTTCAGTTTTTAAATTTTACTTTTTTACTTAAGTAATCTTTACACCCACTTTGGGGCTCAAACTCATGACCCCAAGCTCAAGAGTCACGTGGTCTTCCGACTGAGCCAGTCAGGCACCCCAAATAGATTTCAGTTTGGGTTTAACGTTTTTATTTATTTTTGAGAGACAGAGAGTGAGCGGGGAAGGGGCAGAGAGAGAGGGAGACACAGAATCCGAAGCAAGTTCCAGGCTCTGGGCTGTCAGCACAGAGCCCAACGCGGGGGCTAAAACCCACAAACTATGAGGTCATGATCTGAGCTGAATCCAGACACTTAACCAACTGAGCCACCCAGGTGCCCCTATGTTTCAGTTAAAAAAAAAATGAAAGAAAAGAAACAGATTGGCATGGTTTCAAAGGTAAGCTAGGGAAGGAAATTTATACAGGAACTGATCCCTGCGTTTAATTAAATAGTACTTCCCATATAACATGGGAAGTGATGATTTTTCCAATCCTTAATTACATGACAGAAGTGAGGTTAGAGGCACTTCCAACTAGGCATTTTTAGTTCAAGTTTAAAAATGAACAATAATAAAGCATTAGTGATAATAAAATGTAAATCTCTAATAAAAATATGATGAATTGAAATTTAACAAAAGCACTATGTTTCAACTCTTGCAGAAGGTATTGTGTTACTAAATGTACATCCAAACTGCCTCAGTGTCAGTCTTCAAGAATTGGATGTTGTAAGTAAACAGGACTTCTTTCTCTGTTTAGAGGTCTTCTCCCTTGAGGTATGTTAGAATCACTGTCTTTTTTATCCGGGTTGGAGAGGCTTCTACAAGTATCTGCTGCTCATCTGGCTGAGAGACTTCAATGTTACACTTCCTTTCTTTTTAAAAGTAGTAAATTCAGGGCGCCTGGGTGACTCAGTCGGTTAAGCGTCCGACTTTGGCTCAGGTCATGATCTCACGGTCTGTGGGTTCAAGACCCTCATTGGGCTCTGTGCTGACAGCTCGGAGCCTGGAGCCTGCTTGGGATTCTGTGTCTCCCTCTCTCTCTGCCCCTGCCCCGCTCATGCTCTGTCTCTCTCTCTCTCTCTCTCTCTCTCTCTCTCTCTCTCTCTCAAAAATAAATAAATGTTAAAAAAATAAAATTAGTAAATTCTTCTAAAATCTTTTGCAGGTGGAAACACTGCACGATTTTGAGGCAGCAAATTCTGATGAACTTACCTTACAAAGGGGTGACGTGGTATTGGTGGTCCCCTCAGATTCAGAAGCTGACCAGGTAAAGAGTGAAATTGAAAGGTCCTACGGGCTGTGTTGGTTTTTTTTCTGAGGGTCTCTTGGACACAGTGACTTCCTGAAGACATTTCTATTTCCTGAGGTGCTACAGGGCGCTTAGGGCTTATGAGAACAGGACATGGCTAACAGAAGCTTTTTAGGACACCTCTTTGGTTGATGCTGTTATATTGTTTCTTTTTGATACAAATAGAGGACCATTTCTTATTTTGCATCCGCTTTCTAGGGATGTTGTCTCTGAAAAACCAGTGTTTAGGAAATGTGGCCCCTATCCACGTGCACTAAAAATCTCCCTCAAAAGTAGTTGCCTCTGGGGATGGGGAGATTGGCCAGGAGAGAACATGGGGGAGCTTTCTAGGGATGGAAATGTTTTCTGTCTGAATAGGGGTGTGGATTACACGTGTGTATGCATTTGTCAAAACTAAACTGTACATTTAAACGATGTTTGCATTACCTAGTATTTATACCTCAATTTTAAAAGACTCTTAAAAAAATCACCTTTGAGCATAGTGTTCTGATGTGAAGGTGCCAAGAATTCCATTTGGTTCTTATTCATAGGATTTGTGAACCCCTAAATAGCATGCAAAATGTATACATGTGCCTATTGAACATGTTTTTCTGGAGAGAAGAGCTATAATTTCCATCATCTTCTCAAGGAGGTTTCTGAGCCTTTTACCCCCCAAAATAAAGTTGCTACTTTAGAGGTCAAGGTTTCCCAAGCCCCACATTTTGTTCTTTCTCTTGATAATACACTTTCCAAGATAGAACAGGTGCTGGGTCAAAGTCTTGACCATAATAAGATTAAATTAGATATGAATAGTAACAATACAGCTTTAAAAGCTCTAAATATTAAGTGTATATATATATATATATATATATATATATATATATATATATACTTCTGAATAATCCTTGGACCACATAAGTCACAGTGTAAATTAGAAAAATATTTCCTAGTGACCATCAATTTCTAAATTTTCAGCCCAAGAGGATAAAAAAGATCAAATTAAGTACAAAGCACAGGGAAGGACAGAAATAATAAAAATAAATTCACAGATGAATGCAATAAAAAGACACACAATGGAGAAAACTAATAAATCCAAAAGTTAGTTGTTTGAAAGGATCAATAAAATAGTTAAAACCTCAGATACAATCTTCAAGGCAAAAAGTGGCAAAGCATTAATTACCATCAGGCAAAAGTGTCTACATATCTCAAAATCGTTAAAAAAAAACCATTATATAAGCTAATTTTTTTTGCATTAACCATAAGTTATCTTTTAAAAAGATTAAGAGTAAAAAGCTAATCTTACATCTACCAACATGTTCACCATTTTCTCTGCTCTTTCTGGTTCTTCTAATAGATGAGTTTCCATCCAGTCTCACTTCTTTTCTGCCTGAAAGTTTTCTTTTCTTTTTCTTCTTTTTTTAAATATTCTTTTTCAGTGCACTTTTTCTTTTTCTTTCTTTTTTTAAAAAAAAGATTTTATGTTTAATCTCTACATCCAACCTGGGGTTCGAACTCACAACCCCAAGTTCAAGAGTCACATGCTCCACAGACTGAGCTAGCCAGGTGCCCCTGCCTGAAAATTTTTCTTCACCAATTCCTACGAGGCTAATCTGTTGGCAATATATACTCTCAGTTTCTGTTTATCTGAAAATGTCTTCCTTTCGTCTTCGTTTTTAAAGATATTTTCCCAAGAGGAAGAATTTTGAGTTGACTTTTTCTTTCAAATTTTTAAAGATACTGCTCCGTGTTCTCTGTTTTATTGCTATTTATGACTAGAAATCAGCTGCCATTTGTTTAGCATTGTTTCTGGGTATATATATATACTGTGACTTTTTCCCTAACTGCTTTTAAGAATTTCTCTGTATCTTTGGTTTTCATCAGTTCAATGTAATGTGCTTAGGGCTTGTTTGTTTTGTTGTTTTTATTTGTTTTGTAGTTTTCTTGTTTGGGATTCACTGAGCTGCTTAGATTTGTAGCCTGATGTTTTCCATTACATTTGGAAGACTTTCAGCTAATATTTCTTAAATTCTTCTCCTGCCTCATTCTCTTTCTCCTCTTTTTTGGAGTCCCTAATTATACATCTGTTGGACTTCTTGATGTCTAAGACTGTCCTTTTTTGTTCAATATGTAATTCTTTCTGGTACTCAGGTTGGATAATTTCTACTGATTTGTCTTCAAGTACAGTGACCTTTTCTTCTGCTACTTTGAATTTGTTGTTTAGCTTATCCAGTGACTTTTTCATTTCAGATGCTGTACTTAACACAGTTCTATAATGTTGGTGTTGGTTTTGTATTTAGTTGCCATTTCCTTCCTGAGATTTCCCATCTATTCTTTCATTATTGCTATCTTTCAGTGTAAGCACGTGCCCATATTTTATAATAGCTGTGTTAACTTCTTACTGCTAATTCCAAAAGCTAGACCATCTCAGCACACACTTCTATCGATTGCCTTTTATCTTCAGGGGATATTTTCCTTTTTTTTTCTCATATCTAGTAATTTTTTAAAGTTTCTTTTTAACATTTATTTATTTTTGAGACAGAGAGACAGAGAGAGAGAGATTATGAACAGGGGAGGGGCAGAGAGAAAGGGAGACACAGAATCTGAAGCAGGCTCCAGGCTCTGAGCTGTCAGCACAGAGACTGACATGAGGCTCAAACTCGAGAACCACAAGATCATAACGTGAGCCAAAGTCAGATACTTAACCAACTGAGCCACCCGGGCGCCCCTCCAGCAATTTTTTTCTTTTTATTGATACTGGACACATTGTAGAGTCTGGATTCTGTTTTCTGTCTCTGAAGCTTGTTTCTTTTTCCTCTAGCAGACATGGAGGTAACTGGATAATTAGCTTGAATTCATGGAAGTTTGTCTTATGCTTTGTTAGGGTGGGTCTGTTTCAATTTTGCCTTTCTTTGAGGATGAACTCTTAGTCCTAAGACATCTTTTACTTCTGAGAATGGCCCTTCTGAAATTTGAGTAGAAAACCTGAAGGATTCACCAGGCTTCCTAACTTGGTGGGATTTAAACTCTAAACTCTGTCTCCCCTCCATGGGCAGTGCTGAAACTTGTCTTCAGTTTTTCTGCCTCCCTGTGTTGCTTTCTCCTTGGGGGACCCCTTGTATATTCACAACCTGTGGGGGCCGCTCAGGATTTCAGGGGAATTTCTCTGCATGCTTCGGAACCCGCCTCTGTTGATCTCTTCTTTTCAAGATATTCCCCATAGAAATATAGTTCCTCTGGAAGCCCTCCACTCTTCCTTTGAATGCTCTGCATCACACAGGCTGAGGCTAATCCTCAGGCGCGGGGGTGGGGTGCTGTATTGGCAGAGATCTCACCCAGTGCAATTTCCTACTTTCAAGGGTTAAATATTCTCCATTTTTGGCCTGCTTTTTTAGTCGGTGCCAGTGCCTTCAAATAGTTGTTATATATGTCAACCCCATGATTTGTAATAATCCTATCATATAAACTTTTATATTACATATTTTATTATTTCTGTACATAAGTAGTTGCAAATATGTATACATATACATATGTAGATTTGTATAATATATAGTTATTCTAGTGGTTATAATTGTTCTGTGCAGAAGCACCTGTCTGACACAGCTATTTGGCCGTTACCAAAACTGTAAGTCTCGTCCACCACACATTTTAAGCAGTTAAAATTTAATTTTCCCGATTTGCCTTGGCTCAAGATTGATATTGGGTAATATTTTTCACTTCACTATATAAATTGTGTTTCAGAGTATACGTATTGGCATACATCTTGATGATGAGTTTGTACCAGTCCATAACTTTTGTTCTTTATTGAAACAATTTTAAAATGCATGACTCTACTTGGCTCCATTAGATTTTTTCATTCATTGTAAATAAAGTCAAATATAGACACTTGTGGGGGGAAATATGGCCTTTTAGATGCTTACTGGAGGTTTAGAAAAAATTTAGTTATCATCTTTTACTTTAAGTATAACTTTGCCCTTCACATATATAACATCATAATTTTCAAGAGGACATTTCCCTTCCTAGCTAGGATATTATCAGGTATTTTATTGAGTCATCTTTTCCTCGGGTTTTTTCTTTCCCCACCTTCGAAAATTGGCCTGTCTAAATGCTTATATTGCTTGTCTATATAGCAGCATCAATTTATAGCCTCAGATTACACCAAGAGGGAATGTGTTCAGGCTCTTTATTTAATTTTTGAGACCTCATTTTATCTGATGTACTTGAACTATATTGAGAGTTGCTTCTGATTGAATCTCCCCATCCTTCATCCTAAGTGGGATCTCTTTCGTGCATTGGTTAACATAATCAAGACAAGCCATTGCCCGCTGGTTTTGCACTATAAGGTCTGTAGGTTTCATGCTGCTCCTTCCACTCAGCGTTTTCCAACCGGGATCTGCTGATCTGCCATAGGCCAAGGGCAAACAGCAGCCTTCGTCCTCAGTATCACCTGTCGTCTCCCGAGCTGAATGGCCACACACAGTGGCTCCCTTCACTTTCCTGTGGCTAACTGTCTTCCTGTTCATGATGGTACTCCTACAAGACAGATGTTTGTGAGAAATACTTTATAAAGAACACAGGAATGTTTCCAACAAGCATGTCATGACAACAACCTGCTTTGTGGTTCATATAAACTCGAAAAATCAGATACTGTCACAGCAACAACACACACAATGCCAATATCAGGTTAACACCTATCTAGCGGTTATTTGATAAGCCTTATGTGTGGTGGTTTATTTGGGTCACATGATGTGAGCTGGGGCACAGAGTTCTTCCTTCCAGGCAGGTTCAGGATGAGACACTAGGCCTTCCATGACTTTGCCAGCACTATATCCTGACCTGGGTCCTGAAGTCATTTCTTCCCTGTGACCCACAGGATAGAGAATGTTCCTGTGCACGACATGTTTGTACATGGTGCTTTTCTTTCTGCACTGGCTATCATTCTTAATCCTTTCCTCTTCCTTAAGAACTCCTGTCGTAATCCAATTAACGTCAATTAACTATATACAAAATTATAATATTTGTATCAACTTTCAGTTAGCTATACTAGATCCAGAAAATAAATAATTTTAAATGTTTATCATTATTATTATTTTTTAAGGTTATATATCTTGAGAGAGAGTGAGCGTGAGTGGGGGACGGTCAGAGAGAGGGGGAGAGAGAGAATCCGATGCAGGCTCTGAGCACTGTCAGTGTGGAGCCAGATGTGGGGCTAGATCTCATGAACTGTGAGATCATGACCTGAGCTGAAATCAAGAGTCCACCCCTTAACCGACTGAGCCACTCAGATGCCCCTTGTTTTTTTGTTTTTTTTTTTTAACCTAATAACTTATTTGGGACGAGCTTTCCCACTGCTTTCAGACACTGGTTTATGTATAATGTAACATCCTGGTGCAGTATCACAACACTAAATTATTTTGGGGCTGCCTGGGTGGCTCAGTCTGTAAAGCATCCAACTCTTGATTGTAGCTCAGGTCATGATCTCACAGTTTGTGAGTTCAGGCCCCACATCGGGCTGTGCGCTGACAGCCTGTAGCCTGCTTGGGATTCTCTCTCTCTCTCTCTCTGTCTCTCTCTCAGCCCTTCCCCATTTGCACTCTCTCTCTCTCAAAATAAATAAATAAAATAGACATGTAAGTTATTTTGTTAATTCTTGGCAGTGCAGATTTTTCCAGTAGTCTGTTAGACCTTGAAAGCCCTGTCTTTGTCTTGCAGGATGCAGGCTGGCTGGTGGGAGTGAAGGAATCAGACTGGCTTCAATATAGAGACCTCGCCACCTACAAAGGCCTCTTTCCAGAGAACTTCACCCGGCGCCTGGATTAGGGCCAAAAATATTGTAGAAAGAGCCTATCGGGTTTTTAAACCCGCGGGGAAAACCCAAAACGTTCACTTTTGCTATTACACTCTTAATGATTTACAGGCTGGTGCCAGACAAAGCTTGGAAAGATATATCAATGGAGCATGTGTGCAAGAAAAAAAAAAAAAAAAACAAAAAAAAAAACCCACAAAAAATGTGAGAGAAAAAAGTAAATTACAGATAAGGTCCTCACTGGTTCCCACGTTATCGATTAACAGGTTTATTTGTGCTTTGTCCAAGCTGTGGAGACTCTTGTACTTGATCCCCTCCCACCAGTGCTGCAGTAGCTTTCTCCAGACCAGAACCTTAATTTCTCTGCGCCACGTGTATGGTATTGAGCGGCTGTCCTGCAGAAGATGTGATGAGTTATCCCGTAGTTCGAGATTATCTTGTTCCCTTGCACAGGTGTGAGCACGTGCTCGCTCTCTCCCAAGTTTACGGTGTTTAAAAAACTGTTGGCACACGTTTTCAGTGTTCTTTCCCACCACCTCTCTCTCTGTATATGTATAAGGACACACAGGTACACACGCTAGTTCCCATCTCTCCCCGATCTATGTGTATGCCCAGCGCAACGCTACATATACATAGTTGCCTTTTGCTTTCTTTCGTTCCATCCGAGCTCTTTGCCTCTCGAGTGTCATTGATACATGCATTGCCCTGGCTCTGTCTGGCATTTACAGTTGTAGTTTTGCCTCCGGGCAAAACCCGCCATCCCATTGCCAAAACAGTCGACAGTATCTGTGTTTTGTAATGTGCATTTTTTCAGGATGCCATGACGAATAGCATGTCAGAGCTGCTGTCCCTTTGGAGAAAGCCGAGCCTCATTGTCTAGGTGTCCGGCTGCGGTGGCTGGAGGTAAGCTAGCTGGGATGAGCAGCTATGTAGTGTTAACTTTTGCCTTTCTAAGATTGGCTGCCTGATGGGGCATAAAAGTCCACCCCCAAAGAACACTATATATATATTAAAAAAAAAAAGCTCCTATATATTTCCAACTCTTTATATTTATGCGACTCATCTTCCCAGATTGTCCCAAAATAAGATAGGTGATGTATGCTGTATCCACAAATCATGTGTAACGACTATGTTTTCAGTGCTGTGTCATTCCAAATAAACCATTGGTAATCTCCAGCAATTATCCTACTTCCTCCGCAGAGTCCTTTGTTTGGGGAAGCTTGTTTCAGTCGGATGCACTGCTTGAAATAGTGTATTGTTGGAGTTGTTATTTGTGCGGAAATACGCTTGTTCCTCCGGGTTGTGCTCCATAGCCCGCCTCCCTTCCCCAGAGCCCTCCCTCCCAGTCATTGCTGGTCATTCGGTGTCCCTGCTGCCCAGCAATCACTACAGCACAAATAACAGCTTTGTGGACAGAGGCCCCTCGGAGGCACCGGCTGTGACCGTCTGTGTGTCACCGAAAATCTGACGACCTTCATCATCAGCAGTTTCCTTTCACGTCAGCCTCATCTTTCGGTCACCTTTCTTTCTGACATGTTCATGTTCATAGCGACGTACAAAGAGATCACGCGGAATAGAAAAGTCATTTCACCGGGCCATTGTTTATAGAAGAGCGTTCTTAAACAAACGAAAATCCTTCATTTGATTCACTCTTTTCTGCTGGCGTAATCCTGTATGCAATGTTGGCTGGTCTGGAATAGGCATCATCAGACTTCCGAATCTGGTGTGTTTTTCTGATGTGTGGTTTCAGTTCTCCTAGCGCATTCCCTTCACGTTTCTTACTAGGGAAATCGCTGTTACGGAGCCAGGATTTTCCCAGCGGCTGATTTGCAGGGAGGTTGGTTCACCACGAGTGCTACATTAGTGCAAGAAAATAACAGTCCGTGCCCGGTGGCATAGCTGATAACTCACATAAATGGCAGCGACTTAAGATGAATCCTCGAGAACCACTCCTGACTGGAGTACGCAGGACCCGGAACTTTAAGCGGAGACTGGAACTTTAGTTCTTATAATAAAATACACCTAGTGGTCTTGAAACATAATTGCTGCCTCTTCGGGCGCAGTTCCTCTGAGACCCCCCTTGCGCTCGCCACCGCCACTCTTAGTGGCTCCGCAGGTGCACAGCCTGGTGGGGGGACACAGCTTCTCAGACACACACCTGTGTTTCTTCCCACACCTGTAACATTCCTAGATGCATTTAACAAGTCTTTCCAAAATGACAGGTGCTTAATGAGTCCTTTCATCCTGGTTTAGAGCCTTTGAAGAAAATACCAACAGTAAATACAAGTGATTGGATTGTTCCAGAAATCTTCAAGGTCCTCCATTTTCCAAAGCACTGAAAAATGAACAGGAATGGGGAGGGGGGGACGGGCGGGTAGTGAAACAGGGGAAAGTGGTCTTCTACAGAAACGCTTACAGATAGGGAGTGAATTTTCTTTTCCACTGAATGGATTTTCTATGGGACATGTGGTTCCTAGCATGGAGGTTCTTCCCACCTCTGTCAGTCTGACTGCGGTTCTGAGGCCACCAAAGCACCCTCAGAACACCCCCTGGCCCTATGTTGGCGAATTTGCAGCAGTGTTTTACTCCAAATGGCCTTGACCCAGCAAGCCCTACCCACTGTTTGTGCCCACTGTTTGTGTTTTCACATTTCTCTTTCAAACCCGGTGGCACCTGGACCTTTGAATAGTTCCAGAGGCCTTCAGAGAATCACATAGAGCAAGCCTGTGGTCTTTATTAAACAGACACCGAACTGGCATTCCTACCAGTACCTCAAACAGACGCTCATTTAAACATGAGTGATGTTTATAATTGCCAAGCGAGCCCTCTCCCGATTTGCATTTTTAATAGTGTATCAGCGTAGCTGGGCCCTGGGACAGGGACAGCTCTGCGCGCTGTGCTGTCACATTGCCTCTGCTGTGGCCTGCCCCTCCTGCCATGGCTGGGACAGCTTCTGAGGGACCCCGAACACCACCAGTAGCTCGGTCATGGCCTGGGCCGCTGGGAAAGCATGTGCTGGCCCCGAATGCCGAGCTGTCTCTCATCACATGCCAAAGCCTATGATCAGGCTGTTGGAAAACTCCTGGCAAGACCCCACGGTCCATGGTAGTGGCCCAGCAAAGAGTCTCTGGGAGACTGCAAAGCTTGTGGGAGATCAGGGGGTATAAAGAGAACTGAAACTCCGAGCTTGAGGCCACACGAGACAGGTGGCTGAACACCTCAAAGCCTTACCCACAGGCTGCTCTGCCTTGCTGGGACCCCACTGCTCCTTCCAGAAGAGCCCAAGCTGCCTTCCGGTGTTTACCTGGGACCCGGCTGACTGTCTTAACCAACACTATGTGCCAGACCTTGGACATGAGCATCATGCATTCATTCCCCTGCACAGTGGCACAGCCATGGTCTTCCTAGGACTCAGAGAAATGCAGTTGGACATGGGGTGGCTGTGTAGAGAAGACGGTGACCGATACTCTCGCAGCAAACCTAGAGAAAGAACAGCCACGGGGTTCTATTCATCCTTGACCCTGGCCTCAGTCAGACCTGCTTTCTCATTATCCTGCACGCGGAGCCACCTGGGAGGAGCCCTGGCTGCTGGAGGGCAGCACTGCCCAGGGCACACAGCAAGGGTGGATACACTGCTCACAGAAACCGAAAAAAGTGTGCTGGAGTAAGCCTAATAGTCTGGCCACGAAGTTTGCAACTCCTTGGTTATCCTCTTAAGATCGCTTACGGGAGCATCGGCTGACTTGTTCAGCTTGAATGCTAACTGAGACACTACGATTAAATCTGTGCAGATTGAGAGGAAGGCCAGGTACCCTGAGGCTCTTTCAAAGGATATCTAAACCTTCTCTTAGTTTCCTAGAATCCAGCAGATTCCCTGTCCCCTGGGAGCTCAGGTCCGACACTCAGGGGGTCTCATGCTTGTAGGCCCGGTCAGAGTTGTGTGTTTACCTGGCCCAACATCCACTGCGTGGGGCTGCTCTTAGCCCTGGGGAACACGTGTTGATAACACTGGAAAGCCCTGGGAAGCCGGTGCAGGGCCCGAGCTCCTTGTCTGTAAGACATTGCCACCTGGCGGATGCCCCTCTACCCTCCCGCCCCCTGGATAAATACCATTAAACCGTGTCCTATGCTCTGCTCTGCAGAAACCTGCCAGGGACCACCCAGCAATTTCTGTGGCTTTTGATGATGCCACCACGCCTCTCTAAACTCTAAGCCCAAGAAAGGAATTTTCTTGTTTTCTTGCCTGATTGTTCCTTTGTCACCTTCACTAATTTTTCTTCCTGCTGCAGTGGGTGCTGGAGAGGGGTGTCGGCTGGGGCGTCGGGCGGGGTACATTATCCTCGATGGGTGGGTGTGTGTCCCAGCTGTCCAGACAGTGTTTGCTTTGGAGCGTCTTATTGCTGCCAAGTCCGCATGTGCGTTTGTTCATTAAACATTTGTCAAGCTCTTGCCAGGTGTTGGTTACTGCACACGGGGAACCACATTACTGAGACTTTGCATCAGTGAACTTCTTTCAAAATTCCCCCTTATCGCAGCCCTGAGGGTTCCCCCTTTCTTCGGAACCGCCCCCTCCTGGGCTTCATGTTCCAGGTGACAAACCCCTGAGTCCCGAGCTTGTACTGTCATCCCTGCTACCCGGTGTAGGAATGGTCCCCGTCCCTGCCAAGGAAGACCTTGATCCTTGTTGCCCCCCTCACCTCCCTGCTTCCCCTCTTCCCAGTTTGCGGGCAGGCCCTGGACTAGCTTCCTTACCCTGATGTCAGATGTACGGCTCGCTCTCCTCTTCCTCCTCCTCCACTCACACACACACACACACACACACACACACACACACACGTGCTTGTGCTAATGATGAATATCTGCGTTTCACATCTAATCCCCAGGTCTCTGCTTGGCTGTCAGTATCCTCCACATCTTCACCAATACGTGTCTTCTGCTCCCTCAGGGGAGGCTCAGCACTGAGCCACGTTGCCGTCCCGCTGCACCTCTACACTGCTCACCCTGGTGCAACGCC